GAATGTATCTAATGCGCGCCGATTTCCCGTCCGTCTCTCTCACCCGTCTCCGCCACAGGATCTACTTTGTGTGTGCATTAAAGCAACTCACGGGCTGCCAGGCGAAAAAAACCGAGGACAGGGTGGCTGGGGAGGCCCGGCCGCGCCGCTACAAGCCTCAAGGCGCCGCCGCAAAGGCGAAAATTTCTGCCTCTACAGATCGCTTCGCTCCAGGAAGTGGCAATACAGGGCGTGGCAGAATGGAGATGCGAGTGGTGGTGCGGACCGTATATTCCGGCACACATAACCACGAATCGACGTGCCAATGCCGTGCTCACACTCATCTTACTGCCACGGCTGCTACAGTCTCCCCTCCTGCTACAACCTCGCCTCCTGCTACAAGCTTTTCTCCTGCTACAACCGCCCCTCCTGCTGCAAATGTAGTACCTGCAGCGCCCCCCCCTCCTGCATTAGCCTTTCATCCTGCAAAAACCTTATCTTCTTCTACTACCGTCCCTCCTGCTGCAAATATCCCCCATATGACAATCTTCCCTTCTGCTTCAACTTCCCCTTCCACCATAACACTTCTTGTTGCTACAACATCCCCTCCCGCTAAAACCTTCTCTTTTGCTACAACTTCACCTACCGCCATGACATTTCTTCCTGCTACAACCTTCCCTCACGCAAAAACCTTCTCTGCTGCTACACCTTTCCCTCTTGCCAGAACCTCCCTTCCTGCTGCGACCCTCCCTCTCGCTACTGCTTTCCCTCCTGCTACAACCTGCCCTCGTTCCACAACCTGGCCCCTTGCTACAACCTGCTCTCCTCCTACAAACTGCCGTCCCGCTACATCCCTGACATCACATCCAGCCTCTCCCCTAGTTGTACCCTCGGATTGCACCAGCAACGTTACTCCCTTGCCAATTATTCGATCTGAAAGCTTCCACCCACTCACCTTCGCTGCACCTCCTGCCGTCGCTGCAGCTGCAACATCTCCATCGGTCAGAGCAGCACCACCACCACCAAGGGCGGCTGCAGCAGCAACAGTGACATCAGCAGCAGCCGCAGCAGCAGCAGCAGCAGCCGCCGGTGCTTCTGCTGGTGCTGCTGCGGGCAACAAGGCACCAGCAGCACTTGTCATTCCAACCACAATTTCGGCTGCTCGCGGGATAGCATTCCCAAGCGAGCTTGCTCAGGGGCAGATGCAGGAGGCAGCACAGCCGGCTCTTGAGCTGTCTCAGACTCCCGGCGCGACCAACCCGGTTGAACACGTGAGTGTAGTGGATGAGCGGGTCGGAGGGCAAGAGCAGCAGACACAACAGCTTCAGTATGGCGTGTGACATAACCCGAGCGCAGTCGCTGACGTCGTTTCTCTGGGACAGCAGGGTGGCGCTCAGGCGCAGCAGGTGCAGCAGGCGCAGCAGGTGCAGCAGCTTCGATTTCAGGCGCAGTGCAATGCTAACGCAATCACGTGCATGATTTCTATGGAGCAGCATGGAGTAAAAGTAGAGCAGGCAGCGCCACAAGAGCTTAGATGTGAGCCTCGAGCTCATGCAAACGCAGTCCCCACCATGGAATTTCTGGAGCAGCAGGGTCCTCACATGCAGCAGGGTGCTCACAAGCAGAAGATCCAACAGCCGAGGTTTGAGGCACCTCAAGCGCCTGCCGCCACAAGCACATTCGCCGCCGTGCACATACAAGGTGCGTTTCTTTCGGACCTGGAGTTCTCCTCACACCGACCAGAAGAGCAGCAGAGCCTGCAGCAACCGATGCAGCAGCACCCACAGCAGCCAGTGCATCAGCAGGGTCCTCACGTGCAGCACATGCAAGGTGCATTATTGGAGGACATTGAGTTCTCCTCACACCGGCCAGGCGAGCAGCAGCGGCTGCAGCAACCGATGCAGCAGCGGCTGCAGCAACCGATGCAGCAGCAGCACCTACAGCAGCCATTGCAGCAGAAGCGCCTGGAGCAGCCATTGCAACAGAGCCAGAAGCGTCATTGTCGGTTGCAGGAGCAGGAGGAGCAACACCAGCATCCACTACTGCAGGTTCAGCAGCAAGATCTGCACCAGCTGCAGAAATTGCAGCAACTGCAACAGCATCACCACCAGCAACAGCACTACCACCAGCAGCAGCAGCACCAACAGCAGCAGCTGCAGCAACAACAGCAACAGCAGCAGCAGCAACTGCCGCAACAGCACGAGCAGAAACAACAGCAACAGCAACAGGAGAAACAACAGCAGCACCAGCAGCAGCAGCAGCAGCAGCAGCAGCAGCAGCAGCAGCAGCAGCAGCAGCAGCAGCAGCAGCAGCAGCAGCAGCAGCAGCAGCAGCAGCAGCAGCAGCAGCAGCAGCAGCAGCAGCAGCAGCAGCAGCAGCAGCAGCAGCAGCAGCAGCAGCAGCAGCAGCAGCAGCAGCAGCAGCAGCAGCAGCAGCAGCAGCAGGTGCCGCTGCCGCTGCCGCTGCCGCTGCATCAGAGCATCCCCATGCAGCTAGTAGCATCGCCATGCAGCTCGGAGCATCGTCATGCAGCTAGGAGCATTGCCATGCAGCTAGGAGCATGGCCTTGCAGCTAGGAGCATGGCCATGCAGCTAGGAGCATGGCCATGGAGCTAGGAGCATCGCCATGCAGGTAGGAGCATCACCATGTGAGGTTTTGGCGATCACCCAACAAAGTGTCCACTCACCTCACATCTCCACCCCATGGTGTCTACTCGCATCACATCACCCAAAAACGTGTCGACTCACCTCACATGTCCACCCATGGTGTCTACTCACATCAAGTCACCTAAAAAGGTGTCGACTCACCTCACATCTCCACCCCGCGGCAGCGGCAGCGGCATGTGCCCTCATCTCTTCTGTGCACTGAGAAGCTTGAATGCCAACAGACAGCGTGTGCTCCTGTGTAGTGACTCCTACCACTGATGTCACAACTGCTTTCATGGATGTAGCCACTGGCTTCACTGCTGTTACCACTGCTGTCACGGACGTACACGCTGAATTTATTGCTGCAGAAGTTTCTCACACCCCTGCGGTTACCACATTCGCACTTGCGGTTACCGCATGCACCTCGGATGCACCTTCACCACCCTACAGCGAAGCAGCCTACACAGCCATTCCAGCTGCTAAGCCTTCTGGCCTTCCAGGGGGGCTTCATTCTCTTTCTAGTACTGCGCATGCAGCTGACTCTGGTGTTACCAGCAACGGCCTTGGTGTTACCAGAGATGGCCCTGGTGTTACCAGCAATGGCCTTGGTGTTACCATCAATGGCCTTGGTGTTACCAGCAATGGCCTTGGTGTTACCAGCTATGGTCCTGCTGTTACCACTACTGAAGCTGATGTTATTCCTGTCGTTGACTTTACCATTCCTCCTTGGGTTTGTACCCCTTGTGCAAGTTCTGGTAACTGCCAGCCTGGTACGAATGAACCATTTCTGAGAAACGATTTTGGGATGGGACAGCCAAATAATGTTGCTGCCAGGGGTGCTGACGTGTCAGCATATGGTGGTGTCGCCACGTCAGGGTGTGAACACTGCCCTCCAGCAGCAGTCAGCATCGTGGATGCAGATGCCAAGAGTGGAACTCAGGGATTGTCGCCTGCAGCACACGTCCCACTCCCAGCAGTATTTGCAGCGCTATCAGCCACAGCAGCAGCTTCAGCAAACTGATCTGGTCAAAGTGGCAGCTTGCATGGTGGAGGGTGGAGCCAGCAGCAGGATCTGCAACGACAGTAGCAGCAGCAGGAGCTGCACCCACAGTAACAGCAGCGATGTGAAGGGACCTGACACTTGCCATGATGGTCTATTGGGTGTTACTCGTAATGATTACACCAACGCTTTGATGTGCGATCAAATCGTTCGACGTAGCAGCACTACCAGCAGCGGTGGCAGCATGAGCAGTTTGAGTTGCTCTGTGGTCGGGCCATCACCGTATGATGAGTCGGTCGATGTGGGAGAACGTTTGGGAGCTTCTGTTGCTGATGTGTTGTTGGAGGAGCTGTGCTTGGCTAAGGAAGACATCAGCATGTGCCAAGTCACTACCCCAAAAAATGACAACCCAGAACTGATGTGCACACTTGCTGCGCAGGGTTGCGACCAGGTCTAATTTTCGGTTTTAAGCAACCCTTATTATCAGTCCTGCAACAACACATCAGCAACAGAATACCCTGAAGCTACAGTGTAACATTTTCTAGAACCCTGACGAAGTGTTTCTACAGAAGTTCTGATTTCTACTCAAGTTCTGAACAACAAAGTCAACCCCTGGAAACGCAGGACTTTATCTTTCCGAAAACCAATCTACTGACTGGTCCACTTCAACGTTACATTACTTTTTTTATACAATACTCACCAAGGCAAGTGCGGGGGCGGGTTGGGAGGGGGGGGGAGGGGGGGAGGGGGGGGGGGGGGGGGGGGGGGGGGGGGGGTGTGGTATTCGCTTCAGGGTAAAACTCGCTAAGAAGAACTCTAACCCTGGGGCGACAGTGTGCCTTAAAGCCCGAGTACAGCATGGTAATTTTCAAGTTCAAGATTCTTGAACTTGAAGTCGCCAATAACAGGGTTACCCTACTTGTTTTGAGAAAATTCTCGCGACTCCAGGCAATCATCCTGCGACAATGGAACCCGAGTGCCCAAAACCAGAACTGACGCGATAATCGCCAACCATTTGTACAATTCACCACTCACATAACTTGCTTACCAAGTAGTACTCATAGGCCAGGAGGCTCTAAGGCAAAAACTAGCGCTAGTTGGCAAAAGCGAGTCGTTGATAGGTGTTTTTTTTTGTGCGGAAGGAAATATAAGTCCACCTCAACCATCTTAGTCAGTGCACGCTCTAATCTCTCCCTCACGTCACCGGTCTCGTGTTACAACCCGTACACCCACGGCACTTACGTTAGTAAACGAGATTCGCGTTACTCGAGTCTTGCATTCAAGCTCGCGTCGCACACGCAGGATCTTGTCACACGTGCTACCATTCAGCCTCGTGTCACGATCGTACCGTTTTAGGCACGGGTCACTCACGCGAATGCCGTACTGGTTCGCGTAACGCACTCAGCCGTTAGTCGCACATGCTCCTCCTCGTCAGACCGCTTTCCTCGTCGCCCGCGCTTTCCCTCATTACCCTCCCCGACCCTCTGGTCGCATATGTTCCCGTAGTTGCCCACGCTCTCCCACGTTAACCACACATCCCCTCGTCGCAATTGCTAGTAGTAAACATACCGCGCTTCAGATCGTCACCCGCGCTCCCCTCATCACCCTCGTCGACCCACACCGATCCTCGCCGCCCTCACCTCCCTTGGTCACCAACATTCCCTCTCGTCGCTCGCGCTTCCCCTCATCACCCGTGCCGACCCTCGCCGCCCTCGCCTCCCCTCGTCGCCCGCGCGTCCCGTCGTCGGGCTTGCCTCCCAGTCACTCGCGCTTCCCCTCGTCATCCGCGTTTCCATCCGCTCTTCCCCTCTCCCCATCTCACCATCTCCAGCCCATCCTTCCTTCCTCATTCCTTCCGAAGGGGTGGGACAGATGGGGAGGAACAGATGGGGAGAAACAGAGGTGGTAGCTTCCGCCACCACAATCGAACAGCGCTTTGATTCCCTCTCTGCTCCCCACCATCCTCCCCCGAGCTCTCTCCCCGGCATGTGCCCCAGTTCCATCCATCCTCTTCCCTGTTTTCCCGTATCCCCTGCCGTGCTTCCCCCCATCCTATCCCCTCTTACCCCGTATCCCCTGCCCTGCTTCCCCCCATCCCCTTCCCTGCTTCTCCCCATCCCCTTCCCTGCTTCCCCCCATCCCCTTCCCTACTTCCCCCCATCCCCTCCCCTGCTTCCTCCCATCCCTTTCCCTGCTTCACCCCATCCCCTTCCCTGCTTCCCCTCATCCCCTTCCCTGCTTCCCTCCATCCCCCTCCCTGCTTCCCCCCATCCCCCTCCCTGCTTCACCCCATCCCCTTCCCTGCTTCCCCCCATCCGCTTCCCTGCTTCCCCCCATCCCCCTCCCTGTTTCCCCCCATCCCCTTCCCTTCTTCCCCCCATCCCCTCCCCTGCTTCCTCCCATCCCCTTCCCTGCTTCACCCCATCCCCTTCCCTGCTTCCCCCCATCCCCTTTCCTGCTTCCCCCCATCCCCTTCCCTGCTTCCCTGCTTCCGAGGGATGGGGAGGGGGGACAAGACTAAAGTCAAACAGGGGAGATAGGGAAGAGGGGGGAGAGGAAAGCAGGGCTGCTTCCCCCCTCCCTCTGCCCTGCTTCCCCCCTCCCTCTGCCCTGCTTCCCCCTCCCTATGCCCTGCTCCCCCCCTCCCTACGCCAAGCTTCCCCCCTCCCTTCGCCCTGCTTCCCCCCTCCCTCCACCCTGCTTCCCCCCTCCCTCCGTCTGCTTCCCCCCTCATTCCTCCTTGCTTCTCCCCTTCCACCTCCCTGCTTCCCCCCTCCTTCCTCCCCACTTCCCCCCTCCCTCCTCCCTGCTTCCCCCCTCCCACCGCCCTGCTTCCCCCCTCCCTATGCCCTGCTTCCCCCCTCCCTCTGCCCTGCTTCCCCCCATCCCCTTCGCCCTGCTTCCCCCCTCCCTCCGCCAAGCTTCCCCCCTCCCTTCACCCTGCTTCCCCCCTCCCTCCGCCAGGCTTCTCCCCATCCCCTTCCTTGCTTCCCCCCATCCCGCTCCCTGCTTCCCCCCATCCCCTTCCCTGCTTCCCCCATCCCGCTCCCTGCTTCCCCCCATCCCGCTCCCTGCTTCCCCCTATCCCCTTCCCTGCTTCCCCCCATCCCCTTCCCTTCTCTACACGGTGCATAGCAACACGGACACGCATGCAGAAGTTCTTCGATGACTTGATCCCCTGGCACTAGTGATGAGCGTCACTCTCTCCCCACTCCCTCCCCCTCTGCTCCCCCTCTTCCTCGTGGCAGGCCACCGAAGCACCGCATCCAGCAGATCTTCGAGTGGATCTGCCCGGAGGCTTGCTGGCGGAGCTATGAGGCAGCCTCCTCCCGAAACTGTCTTCAGCGTCCCCTGCTGCCCAGCAGGATGCCGCGGAGCATTGATGCGGGAGGGGGCAGACCATGCTGGCAGAAATGATGGCGGCAGCGCACGTCAGGTCTGCGCTGCTGTGGGCCGGGGGAGTGCAGAGTGGTGCAGGGTCTAGCACGGCATGTCGATATGTGGCCGGCCGAGATCCTTATGAGTTGAGAGATCTGAGCTTCTGAGAGTGCGTTCCCAAAATGTATTGGTAATGCGTTTCTTGATATATATATATACATATATATAATTCACAATTTGCTTGCAATGCTTTTCTGCACCTAATCAGCACTTGAAATGTTGTGTTTTTCTGAAGTGAAGTCTCAAAAGCATCCAGATATTTTAGTAAATTATAAATTGTTAAAATACTCTTCAGTGTACTGCCTTACTCTCACTCGCGTGAGTTTCGCGTTGCCCACGATTTCAACCCCAAGAGAAGCGCCAGCAGTAGTGGTGGGGCTGGAGCAGTGCTCTGTCACACACACAGTCGTTCGGCCCTCCCATATCCTTGGAAACAGCTGTCGCATAGTATCGTGGCGAAGGCTGTTTCACCCGCCTCCTGAATTCGCTTTCGCCCCACACACATTTCCGAAATACACGATATTATTATTTTCGCCAGACTGTTTCAACCCCACATAACTTGAAAATTTACCATGCTGACCTCGGGCTTTAAACGAAAACCTTGACATATCAGGAAAATCTAAGCCCCAGAAAAAATTACCCTAAGGCATCAGTGTGTGTGTGACTACCAAAAACCACCCTGATTGTCAGTGTATCAGGGTGATTTACACTGATAAAATTAGCCCTGGTTGCGACAATATTGATCCTATTTTTATCTGATTGATCAGGAGATTAGATTAAGTTCTCTATGATGCAAAGCACTGCATGAGGTCCTAGGTTTGCATGAGTATAATGGTTCCATTGTATCGCAAATGAGGATGTAGTCTGAAACATCCCTTTTTGGGGCCGAGTCCCTACACCTAATCAGATCATTCCTTGGCACTTCACGGAACCCTGATTCCCGAGCCGATGTCGAGCCAGAGTGCCTGGTGAACGGAAAGCTGTTGTGGTGCAGTGGGAGCAGAGCGGAGCGGAGTGCCCGAGGGGGAATTGCGACACCCTCTTACAAACAATCAGGGAGCAAGCCTATGGTGTCTTGCGGAGAATTGCTATTTTACTGTGCGAGCTTTGGCGTTCCTTTCTCTTACAGTACGCAGCATTGCTGTTGCTCCTATATTTACAGTGTATTATCTATCATGGTTCCACAGTGTCACCTTCGTACGCGCACATGGTTGCGCTTTGGCCTGCAGCTGCACATGGAGGGGGTTGCTAATCGCACCTGCGCTCTGATTTACAATATTAGGTCAGAAGAATTTGTTAAGTCCCCGTACAACACGCTTGTTAGAACGTGTACTCTCGCGAACCGCGTATATACATTAATGCGTACACGCATGTCCACAATGAATGGTCTGCATAGGACTTCGACTCGTTAGGGGCATTTGCTCACCAGATTGACGGTCCCAGAAGCCTTTCATGTAGCTCATGTGGACCTTACACGTAAGGGTTGAGTGCCTCCGTTCATCATCATCATCATCATCATCATCATCATCATCATCATCATCATCATCATCATCATCATCATCATCATCATCATCATCATCATCATCATCATCATCATCATCATCATTATCATCATCATGCATCTTAAATATCTCAGGTTGATGCCATCTCTCGCCTCAATCTGAATCCAGTGACTCGGGATCCTGAGTAGTACTATAAGAAGTTGACTTTCCGAGTCGCCACATCTTCACTTCACAGTTCAGACTTGTGGAGATAACTCGTTTAACGGGAGCTAGACTACGGGCTAGGCACGGATGCTCGTGTGATCTCTGCGTTCATTCCTTAGTCATTTCCTTGTGCACACGCTACTTGCTAGTTCACGGGGGAAATTGGCAAGAGTTTCACTAGGAACACATGACAGCAACGATGCACACAAGATGGCAAGACTAGACTACATTAGAGCTAGGATGCAAGCAGGTCGACTGCTAGCGCAGCATAGTCGACCGCGTGCCAGCACGACTTGGTCGACTGCGCTCCAGCAGTGCAGAGTCGTGGCTTGCCAACTCTGCAGGTCGACGGCATGCCAACACCACAAGTCGACGGCGGCCAGCGTTGCTCCCGCAGTACAGCATTGCACCAGCTTCGCAGGTGCTCGCAGATGATTGGCGTGCTGTGCCTCATCACCTTCACAACACACACACCATATCGTCTCCATGCTGACGACTGCATCTGCTCCGCCACGTCGACCTCGGGATACCACCACCAAGGTCGGTCTCGCCAAAGACCACTTGGGCGACCGTCTCACTCCTCCGCAGGACCTCGTCACCCAGGTAACCTGGTCGACCGGGCAACCACGTCGACCAGCTGCTCCTTCGCGTGCCCGTCGACCTCCCAAGTCGACAACCACCTCCAGTCAACCTCGCCAAGTCGACCACACCCTTGGTCGACCAGCTCCTGGTCGACGTTACTCCTGGTCGACCAGCTCTACGTCGATCAGCACGGTTGTCAGCCGACCACCCAAGTCGGCTTCTCCATGTCGGCGTCGCCAAGTCGACGCCCTACACAGGTCGACCTCCCTAGTCGACCTCCCCGAAGTCGGCGCCCCCTCACATCCGACCAAGAAGTCGGCTCCGCCCAAACGAGGACCGGGCCACACCCGAATCAAGACTCTAATGAAGTCAACCACGTACCAGAGGATGTTGGAGATGGTTCCGCGAACCACACTAAACGACGACGGAAATCCGGACCGACGGCTGCATTATGGCGGTGGCGTGTGGAAACGCTATACGAAGAAGCTAGGAAAATATCTAAGTTACTATGTGTGTGAGATCTACGACATGGGCTACAGGAATCGAAGATAGGAAGAAACGTGAGAGATGGAGTAGTAGAAGTGACAAGAAGAGAAGAATGGTTTCACAAGAAGTTGGGTTGAAAAGATGGCATGGTTCACAAGTTTCTGGATTTTGGACACAACCTTTATAGAATCCCATTGAAGGGCAAGGTTCAAGTCCAGTAGTGCACATTTATGATCGCTCAGTGAAATCTCCCGTCAAATCACCGCGAAAGCATTCGCGAAGGCCCCGCGAGGCACTAGCGACGCGAATTTCTATATGAAGGAATCGCGAACCGAATTCCTCCGCAAAGCGCTAGTGAAGCGCTAGTCAAGCGTTGGTGGGGCTGAAAACTAGTGAAACATTGACAGAATTAAATGCTGTGCATATCGTTGGAATCGTGAGAACAAGGAGAACACAATCGGCTTTAGCAAGCAGATTTTTTTCGACAGGCATCAATGTGAGAGAATTGAAATGAGAATGGATGAACTATGAATGAATTGGGTACAAGTACTAACCCTAATTGGGTTGTACCCCTTATGGGCTACCCCACTATAGCCTACACAATATGCATGAGCTATAATGTTCTGACACACCCCCATAGGCAAAGTGGGGGAGAACAAGAGGTCACAAGACCAGTCAAGCAAAGCAAAGCAAAGCAAGCTCAGGGTGGATCACAAAGTCACCACACATTCCGAGCACAAGTTCAAGGCCACAAGGCCGGTTCACATGCAGGAGTACATATATATATAAAAAGGGCTAGACAAGCAAGAGCAGGTATATGTATATGTAACAGTACAAGCAAGGTCAAGAGGTGAGCAAGTGAGGCAAGGTAGGCACAAGGCCCAGCTGAGTACAGAATTGCTGATGGTCACAAGGCGCAAGCGCCTTGGTGAAGATATCAGCAGTGTTGGCCTCAGAGGCCACGTACGCAAGACGCAGCTGACCACGCTGCTGCAGCTCACGAGCAAGAAAGTAGCGGAGAGCAATGTGCTTCGTTCTGTGCTCCAGACGCTGCTTCCGACACAAGGCCAGCATGGCCTTGTTGTCTACGTACAGCACTAGAGGAGAACGAGGCGGCTCTCCAAGGTCAGTCAGCAGGTAGGTGAGCCAGCGAAGCTCCTGTGCAGCCATGGCTCCTGCGTAGATCTCAGCCTCACAACTGGAGCCGAGAACAGAAGACGAGCGAGTAGCCCGCCACGAAACAGAGCCGAAACCAAGGCTGAAGGTGTAACCCTGTGACGACCGCTGCGTAGCCTGGTCGTCAGCCCAAGAAGCGTCAGTGTGCCCAGTAAGGACCATTGGACTCTGCCCTCCAAGCACAAGCCCCATGCCCGACGTACTGCACAAGTAGCGCAACACCCTCTTCGCTGCAGCCAGGTGGAGATTCAATTCAATTCAATTCAATTTGAATCATCTTTTCTGAGCTCGATCCCAGATCCTCACACTTGGTAATCAGAGCGGGTTTACACGCGAGGTCTTCAACCGCTTAGTTCCGGCCTTTAAAAACCGCGGGGGCGATGACGAAAGCGCCGATACGGGTATGTAAAACCAGTTCCGCACAATTTTTCTAAGTCCCCCTCGATTCGGTTTTCGAACACCCCTCAGATTTACTGGTGGAAAGGTTGGAGTTTCGACCATTCGATCGAGTTTCATCTCAACGGCCCTGAGAATTTCGCCCAAAAAAGTTGGAATTTGGAGCGTCGTATCGATTTTCTCCTCAACGGCCAAGATCGGACGCGAATTTCGCCTAAGGGAGATTTACGCAACCTACAGAATTCGCGCTCGTCGATTCTACAGTCAATTTGACTCGCTCTAAGTCGACCAGCACCTAGAATTCGATTATTTTCGTCGCGCATCTTCCTGTAAATCACCAAATGGAGGGCC